TTTTTAATTAATTTTTATCAAAATTCAATAATATATAAATTTAAATAAGTTATTTATTATTTTAAAATTTTATAAGATGTTTAATTTAAAAAAATTATATTTGTATATGTCTTGAATTTTTCCTGGATGCTCTATGTTTTTCTCTGGTTACACAAAGGGTCAACTTTAATTGGCCAATTTCCAAAAACCTATAAGAGAGTTTTAATAATAAATTTTTATATCTAATCTTTAAAAATTTATATTTCAATAAGTTTTAAACCAATTTTAATGATTTTACTATTGTTAAAATCACAAGAACCTACTTTACAACTTTACTTATAAGCTCAAAAAATATTTAATTGATAAAAATTTTCGTAATTCAGATTACAAAAAAAATATACCATCAAGTTTATATATAAATTTAAAATGTTACACCCTACCCTTAAGTTATAATTTTTGTAAATCATACTAAATTTAGTACAAATAGCTAAAAAATACCAATTAAATTATAAAAGCACCAATACTTACATTTAACTTTAACATTATTTTAAAAAACTAATATTGCCACCTTCAGTTTTTGTTAATATTATCTTTTTACAACATTTAACCAATTACTAATTTTCTTACTTTAATATTACACAAATAAAAGTTGCATAACCAAACTTTTATTGGCTAAATATTAGAACATACAAAAAATTAAATGGCACATAACCTAAATTTGTGTAACATTGTGATTAGGGTTACCTAAAAGTGGCATTAACAAAAATAGGATACCAATAACAGTTCACTATCTTTATTAAAATAACACATAATCATAATATATAATTTCATATATGTTGAATTCAAATTCATGCAACAGGACAAAAGTTTATTGGCAAAGGACGTTTTCCAGAATATTATAGATCACTTACCAATAGTGCGAAAAAGGAACGGTAAAAAGGATATTTGACCGTCCTCCCACACCTTCAAATTAATAATGTCAGTAAACCATCCTAACTTTGTTGTGCGTGTCAAATATAATCATACTGACCAAACTTAATAATGCCCCCCGCGTGAATTGACGCGCAAAATTGATTGAAACTGCTTTTGGATCATTTCGTGCTAAAAATGCTCCACCTGGATCAGAAAGATCGTTCCAAGATGGTCCTCTCACAATTCCTTGGGCATTCAAAAGACTAGAACCTCTAGAAACTTGTGTTGGTCTTTTCGCATGAAAGATTACTAGCAGTGCTGTATCTTTGAAACATACAGCGAGTCGCTCACCAGTTGGATCAATGGATAATTGTTCGATTGTTCTTCCAGCACTGATGAAGAACAGAAATTAGATTAACTATAAAGTATAATATAAATTATTGAGATTTAATTTACCAATTCGGAATATGTGACATATCTTCCTTAGGAAACCACTCGTCATCCAGATTTGGCGATATTGAAAGACAACGAATACATTGATCTTCACAAAATGACAAGAACAAAGCACGACCATCTGCTGTCCAACATGCAGTCTAATAAAGCAAATAACAGAGTTTAAATCTTAATAATCATTAAATTTCATTAATATTGAGTTTTGCATGTACTTGAACCGGTCGCCGGGACGAAATCTGTGATGAAGTATTAATGGTCTTAGACGTCCATCGTTGTGTTTCATATACTTCAATCCTACCATCTCTGAGGATACCAAGCAAAAAAATAAATATTAAAGAGAAAGAATCTATTTGAAGAATAAGTGTAAAGAATAAATCTTACAGAAATGATGAAAATAGAAACTCTCCAACCGGGCTCCAACTCAAAAACACAACCTTGTGTCTTGTTGTTAAAGCCACACCATTTCCGAACGAAGTATTCCAAAGTATGATTGATCCATCAGATGAGCCTGTCGCCAATGAGGTTATGCCACAAGTTAAGGTACAAATAGTAAAGCAATAACATAACATTCATCTTTAAACGTGAACTAATATTTCATTCCAGGATATTATCCATGGGGATGCCAGGCTAGCGACACTATATTTTCGTGCCCAGGATAATTAAGATAACGCATCCACGCATTGAATGATGATGATTCGCCGGAATTTTTCTTTTGATTAAATGTTAACTCCCACAAACAAATTCCACGTCTTAAGCAGTTAGAACAATGGAAGATTACCAACATTTTTTAAATAATAATAATATAATTACTTACTGGCATCCAACGGCCAAAATATTTCCACCTATAGGTTTCCAAGCCATGCATGTAATGTCTTTTTGTAGAGTTGTTTCTAAAACTTCTGGAAACCAGGCTATAGTATATGATTTAATGAGGTTAACGTGAAGCAAAAACTCGATATCCTATAATCGAAAATTTTAATCATAGGGATACACACCTTCCACACGCAAATCATACAAGAAAATTACATCTACATTATGTGCTATTGCGAAGAGTGAAATATACGGATGCCACGCAAATATTTTTGAAGGGTAATGATTTTTTATATCGTGTAAAAATTGCATATGGCGAGTAGTATCCGCATCAAAGATTGAATTAGATAAACAATTCGGAAGAGCATCGATAATTGCTCCAGCAAAATCGCTAATAATGACTCTCGCATAATTGATTTGACGGCTGGCGAAACAGGTATCATTTCAGATAAGATCACTTGTAGGATTCATACACATCGAAAGACGTAAAATTACGTACTCAACAAAATCTTTAGTTCTCTGAGCGGTCTTACTCAGAACATTTCGTGGCGGTAAATTTTGAACAATCACTCGTCTACTTTGATGAAGTGTCTCCGGACTTTTAAGGTCGTTCGGAATTTGTAGTTGTGGAAACAGCACACCCTAATAAATAAGAGTAAACGTCATTAAATTTAGGAAAACACAGCAGTAGTTTGCGTACTTACTTCAGCACGAACATAAACTTCAATATTGGGATCTGAGGCTTTTTTTAGCTGCACTATAAAAGAATTGCTATATTATTGAGCTTTAAACCGACTAAAACCTTCACACTTAACACGCCTTACGTAGTCGTCCATCAATCTCAGCAACTGTTACCTCACTAGGACTAGGTGCTTGAAGTTTAATTAATATTAATAAAACATAAAGAAAATAAATAGCAATAAAAACCGTAATTTACTTTGAATTTGAGAAGCCATTCTGAGTTGTAACTACGCGTATCATTACAGTCGGTTTCTTAAGGGTAGAGTACAACGTTGATCATTTCTATATAGGTATAATTAGTTGAGTTGCAAATTTTTGCAAATTTTTTTTTTGTATTTTTTTTTTTTTTTTTTATTTGGTCGTTAAAAGTGAAACCAGCTAGCAAAATTAGCTAGTAAAATTAGCAAAATTAGCGAAATAGCGAAAAAAAAATTTATTATAAATTTATATTCTAAATCTAATCTTCCATATCATCGTCATTAAAATCATGTTCATTAAAGTATAAAAAATTTAATCTAGTTATATTTTTTTCCGTGAGAGCCCTTCGTCTATCATCTAAAATATGTTTATAATTTGAAAATGAACGTTCAACATCTACTCCCGAAGCAGGAACCCAAATATAAACTAAAGCAATTTTTGAAAGAATGGGTAATGTATACAATTTATCTTTCCATTCACTAATCAATTGATTCGAAGGGTGTTTAAACTCAAAAATATAAGAATAAATTGATAGATTATGTCGTGAATTATCTTCACAAATATATTGAGGATTAAAACGTTGGATACTTTTAAAAAGTGATAGTGCGTTATGTTGCCAAATATGTTTTAAAAATTTTGTATGCGTTAAGTTAAATGCTTGTTCAAAAATTCTTTTAAAGTAATTGATATTCAATCACTTCTGACTTATATAGGTAATCATCTCATTTGAGAATGGCGTAGTAATAATTCCATTTTGAAGTGTTTCTTGCATTTTCTGGATTTGTGAGAAAACCATTGGTGCAATTGGGATATTTCTAATTTGAAAGAAATCTAAATCATGCATTAATCTAAAAAAAAAAAAATTTATTAATATATATATTTAATATATTTCAATTAAATAATAAATGTACTGTTTTCCATTAAGCATAATGAATATAATAATTAATTCAATTTGAGTGACTATATCTGGTTTAGAAAACCAGTAATAATAGTTTTTGAAAAATCAGAAAAATCTTTTTCTTTTTGATAAAAAGTAATCAAATATTTTAGATAAGGTTTTATCTAGTTAATAAACTAAAATCAAAAAAACCATTAAGTTTTAACAGGTGATGGTAGTAATGTTAATTGAATATCTTCATTATCTAATGCATATTGAGTAAGATAATTTAACTATCATCTTTTTCTAGAAAATAAATAAATAAAAGTAGATTTAATAGCAGTAACAGTTTTATCTAGAATTTGAAAATTTTCATATTCAAGTCAAGTATTTCTAACTAAATTATAAATATGTACGAAGCAAGTATTATGTCATATTCATAAAATTAATAATAATAAAATATCAGAAAATGATTTTTTCATATAACTTGTATTGTTACTAATATATAATAGAATATTATTAAATGACAAAGAATAAAATGAAATTGTAGAAACAACTACTTGTAATATAGTAGTAGAGTTAACTTTAGTAAGAAATTTAGTTTTTACAAGTCTTGTCAATTTTTCAAAACTAAAAAGTATATTAACAATATTTCTTTTACATTTATCAGTTATTTTATCTACTGTTATGTAAATTTTTTTATCTTGAAGCAAAATACATAGTTTTTCTAATTTGATATTATAAACAAGAGAAAGATATCATTCATGAAGCTAACTAGTACCTACAACTGAACTATCTAATAAATCAAATTATTATTATTTTTAATATATATTTTAAATTTTAGTTTAAAAATATAAATATATCATTTATGTAATATTTTAAAAAAATGATTTTAGTTTTTTAATTTTTTTTAAAGAAATATTTGCTTTAGTAAAAACTTTAATAATATTGATATTTATTTTTTATTTATTGGTTATTTGAGCTTGAAATTGAGTTAAATTTTAATTTAATAAAGTTTCATTAACTTTACTTGATTTAACAACTCTTTTTTGTCTTTCATGTTTATTAGTTTTTAAATGTAAATCTAAACTATGTTTTTTTAATAATCAACTTGACATTTATAAAAGAACCAAAAAATTTTTCCTTTGCTTTCATAAAAATCATTCTGGTATTTAGGATATCTATCTAAAAATGAAAGATTTTGTAACATTTTTAAAAAATGTTTATTTAATACTAGTGAAGTTATTTAAATTTTATTCTTTTACTATTACTATTATTATAAATAGTAATTATTATATTATAAGAACAAAAGAAAGAACAAAAGCAATAGTTATATATTAATGCACAAATAGTAAAAATCACATCTTAGTATCAAATAATGTCACTAACTATTTTGTTTAAAAATAGCATTATTTTAGATGCTACTAAAATCTGATAACTTTGATCAGTAGCTACCATCTTTATTTGTATTTTTAGTCAATACATTATATATGACTTGTACAAGGTAAGTGTGCAACTAATTACATATATAACTTTTGGTTATCTATTTAAGTAGTCTGGCCAAAAGTTTTACACTAGCTGTTATATTTGTAACCTACTAGAAAGGTATCTATTTAAACATTCTGATTCTTGTACTGTATTTAGATAAGTAACACCTGGTTCTTGTACAACTAAATATTATCTAACCCAATATTTAAATTTACTTTTTGTACATCTGTCAAGTTATTATATATTTTAGAACATATTACTTGACTATAAGGCTTTGAGATACTTTTTTTTTAATTACTTATTTACTTTACAGAATATTAATAAGACTAGTCTTTGTAAAGTTCACTTGAACTTTAGTATCTATTTTATAATATATCTCTAGTATTTATAGTATAATTCTGTTTTGACCTTAGACTTTCAATCCAAATAATTTAATAGAATTGTAATTTGTTTTTAATATATTGATCTAGCCTGATATCTTTTTTCTTTAATTTGATTCTGATGACCTGGTTGGTAATACCTCTTACTTTGAGGTTTTTGCTTGTCTAGTTTCTTTACATTAGTATTTATTTTCTAGGTTTAGTCTTTATAGTAATATTGTTGAAAATTTGTATTACTTTTTTACTCAGATTTTCTTAAATAAGTTTCAGTTTTTTCTAGTTCTACAGATTTATACAGTTACAAAAACTTATTTTAAATTTACATTACCTAGTACTAGTTTGCATTTTTTTGTATAATCAAGTTTATACAGATGTTTTATGGCCTGCCAATCATGCTAATATAATCATAGTTACAAATATTTTATTTTAACTGATTGACAAAAAAATTATTGCTATTTCTTAATCTGTAGAGAAGACAAATTTGTCTGCTAACTTATTTAATATTTTTTACAATTAGATAAAAATTTTAAATATTGATTTTAATAATATA